CATTCTTTTCCAGGATCAAAAGAAAAAAAAATAATGCTATGTGTTCAAGTGATATAAAAGATAAATACAATTCTAACAGAAGAGTCAGGGGTGGGGTCAAAGGTAGGAAAGAGAAAGCTGTGTTAAGAAAGCAGATTGATTCCAAAGATCAACTGAAAATATAAGCTGGAACGAAAATGAACTAAGAAACAGTGGGGAAGAATTTGGTACAATACGTATTTTAAATGATTAAAGCCTGTGGTAATTAATGTTTGATTGTCTGAATACTGTAATAGTTAAATGCAAAAGCACTATGATATCTTATCTCATGCTTTCATGCAAGCTGGCTGTTCCTAAGCAAGCCCTGTAAATGCTTGACTCGGAGCTGAGGGTGAATTTGTAGCTAGAAAAGAAGTGCCCTTCTCCAGGATCACAGGCTGTACTGGCTTGACTAGAGATAACTGGCCTGTTTTCTATCTGGAAAGGGAACATTTTACAAGGGTGCATCTTCCATATTAATTGACCTGGATTAAGCTGAATTCTAAAATCACTGGGTAATGAATGGATCATTCATTAGTTAAATGGCATTGGATACCTAGTTATTATTTTGTGGAAGCAGATGGCAAAAATTTTATACAATAAAAGAAAGTGGAAGGTGTGAGTGTGTGTGTGTGTGTGTGTGTATGTGTGTGTGTGTGTGTGTGTGTGTGTGTGTGTGTGTTTGTGTGTGTGTTAATTTTGGTGAAACGCTTTATAAACATAAAAACGAGAGAGAAGAAATCATAGAACACTGCATTTCTGGGCTGATATTTACTGGAGTATCTCAGTGACCTCAGGAAAGTCTTGGGATGTGGAACAAATGTTAGCAAAGGGAATTCTTGAGGGTGAAAACATAGATGTTATTTATCCTGTTTTGTACTTGCCCCTATTTATTATTTTCATAAAGTACATTTTACCTCCTTCATCAGGCAGACCAAATAAATTGGTTCTTTTAGAATGTGTGATAAAGTAACAGACAATGGGAAATAAATAACGTATTAAATCTAGAACCTAATTTTCCCTAGGAATCAAAAGGATATTTGGCCATTGCTTTACTTGACACATGTTTCCATTTTTAATTGAGACCGAGTCTAATATTTTGTCTTAGTTCAGGTTTCTATTGCTGTGAAGAGACACTATGACCATGGCAACTCTTATAAAGGAAAACATTTCATTGAATTGGTGGCTTACAGTTTCAGAGGTTTAGTTCATTATCATCATGGTGGGGAGCATGGTGGCATACAGGTAGACATGGTACTAGAGACGGAGATGCTACATGTTTATATTCGGGTAACAGGAAGTCGACTGAGTGTCACCCTGAGCAAAGCTTGAGCAAAGGAGTCCTCAAAGCCTGATTGCACAGTGACACACTCCCTCCAACAAGGCTACACCTACTCTAACAAAGCCATACCTCCTAGTATTACCACTTCCTTTGGGGACCATTTTCTTTCAAACCACCACAAGATTTTAATTCCATCTTGGTGTTTATTTCCTTTCAGAAGGAGTTATCTATTACTTTAAATGATACATTTGGGGAACATAGAGCTATCAGCAGATTTTTGGGTTTATGGTAAAATAGTATTTGTTTATCAAAAATAACAGGTAATTTTCAATTTAATGTTCTCTTTTTCTTTTTCTCTTTCTTTAGCTCCCTCTTTCCCTCCTCCCACCCTCCCTCTCTTCCTGCTTCTCTCCCTTCCTACTTTTCTTTCTTAGACAAATTTCCTAGAGTACCTCAGGCTGGCTCCAAACTTAATTGCATTAGTTATTTCTCATTGCTGTTACAAAATACCTAACAAAAGCAACTTAAAGAAGAGTTCCTTTTTCTTCGGGTTTGAGGCTATGGCTCATCATGGTAGTGAAGATAGGGAGGCTGTGGCAGCTGTAGCTTTGGCAGCACTGCAAGTGGGCTGGTCACATTGCATCTTATCCTGGAAGCAGAGGGTTAACTAGCTTGCGCTCAAACTCATTTTCTCAGTGTTCCCTTTGAAGTGAATTGGTGGCCCTGATCATGGGATCAGGGTGGATCTTTGCTCCTCAGACAGTCTTCTCTAGAAAGGCCCTTACAGACACACCCAGAAGTTTGTTGTCTAGGTGGTTGTAAATCCTGTCAAAGTGTGATTACCAGGAATGTCTTGCTTCAGCCCCTAGAGTGCTGAAAATACAAGGGTGTGACATCATCTCCTGCGTCAGTAAGAATTGGTCAACTCTCTTCTTATTCAAGTAAGAGAAACTGAAAACTGGCCTGAGCAGGAGCATTCATTTTAAAATTAGTAGAAGGCAGCTAATATTTTTATGAGTGGCTGTGTGCAGCATGATGAATAGAAAGAATTTTTAACTGAAATTTTGAAGTAACTCAATGGGCAGAGTTAGATACTGTTTAGTGATTATACCCTGCCAAGCTTCCACAACCTTTTTCCTTGTCATTTTTCTTCTTATAAAGTTATTGACTATCCCCTGCCAAGCTTCCACAACCTTTTTCCTTGTCATTTTTCTTCTTATAAATCTGATTTAAAATTTTGTTCTGCATCATTTTAGTGCTGTTAAAAACTTGGCTCTAACATCCTTGAGATTTTTATGCCTACAAGTCATTTCATAAAGAAGTTCATATTGTAATTTCAAGTATTAAAATGACTAAGCAATAAGTAACTTAGAGAAAATAGAAAAGCAAGCAACCCTGAGCACTGTGTACAATGGTTAGAAAGAGACAGTTGTGGTGATTCTTGCATTTTTCATCCATCTGGCTAGTGGTGAGTATACACTTTAGTCACAATTTGTTTTTTGTTTAGTACTCTACAGTCATAGGTAGGAAACACAGATAGAGAGAGAACTACCTCAGGTCTCTGAGAAATAGTTTTCAGTCAGGGAGTGAGGAGGAGGCTAGAAAGAGGTCTCTTACTGTGACAGGGAATATGGGGTGTATCTTCAGGAACCAGGAGTTGGTTCTCTGAAGGCAGGGGAGTCTCAACATGAAGTAGAGTGAGGGAGAGACTAAAAGAGGCAAATGAATGGGGTAAAGGACATGCATTGACACTTTCCACTAGTTCATAGAACGGGGTTTATGATGCTCGACCTCAGTAGCTAGAGTCTTTCTTTGGCCCTATACTTAAGAAGAACTGTTTATTGAAAGTGATCTAATATTTCTCAAGCTATGTATTCTTGGGAGTCTCTGCTAGAATCTTTTACTATCATTGCATCATTGTATTGAAATACTCCACATATTTGCAAGTACCCAGAGATAGTTTCTAATCATACTGATAAAATCATTCAAATGGCATTGCAAATTATTCAGTAATTCTTCATGAATTACTTAAGGTTATTTACAGAAAAAAAAAGTGTTGTCTTCAGATAAATATTTTCACTGTAATTTACCTTTCTTTCTTTCTTTCTTTCTTTCTTTCTTTCTTTCTTTCTTCTTTTTTCTTTCTTTCTACCGGGGTTCCATGTATCCCACCCTTCCCTTTAGCTATGTATCTGAAGATGATCATGAACTTCTGATTTTCCTTACTCTATCTCCTGAGGCATGAGTGAGTCACCATGCCTGTTTTTATGTGATGCATGCAAAACAAGCAGTCTGTCAAATGAGTTACATAGCTGGCCTCCTGTTACAATAATTTTAATATATGCTTACTTGTTTTGATAAAAGAGGAAACAAAAAACTAAGAGCCAAATTCAGGAGTTCTAAACAAGGCATCAGGATAAACAGCTACTGTCCCTGGACTTCCCTTACCTGTGTTCAAAACAAGGGAGTTTGACTAGAGTACAGTGACCTTTAAACTGTTTCCATTTGACATATTGGGAGGCTGCTTGGTTCCTAACAGAACAAGCGTCAGAGGGAATATCCACTCAGCTACAAGGTCTTTGGAAAGGAATGTCCACTACGTTTCTCTTCAAATTAAAGCAAAAATATGATGGGATGTTTAAGAACCCAATTTTTGCTGTCTTCCTTCTTCTAAGTCCGTTTTTAATTCCTGTACACATGACTGGAAGTCCTTTCCTTGTTATAATTGAGAAAAAAGTGTCCTGGGCAACAAAAAGAGTAAGCATAGGGACTGGAGTGCATTCAGGTCTGTCTGCCTACCTCTTAGCCCTGGCTTGGATGAAACATATTCTAAACCACGCCGATATATATGCATGCTAACCTTGTAAAATACCTTACTAAGTCAGCTAAATTCTAAGGGTTATCTCTAGAAACTTTTGTAGCAGTCTTCTCGTTGTCCAAGACTTACTCCTATGAAAACACGTTTCTATTCTTTTTCCACTCAGGCTCATTGCTGTGTTATCCTTCCAATTCCACACAGAAGTTCTGAATTCTGAGCTAAGCATAGGGAGGCTGCAAATAAACAGAATGTGGCAGTTAAGGCAGTTTGTTCCTTCTTTGTTGTGGGTAGGGTGAGAGGGATAATCTGCAAAGATTCAGGCTGTGTTTAAAGAGAAAAAAATATATTTAAAAACGTCTGGTCAGCGCAGCAGCGACAGTGTTTCATAATTGAGGCTAGGACAGGGCACGACTCACTCATATTTATGCCCCTCTTGTAGCACTTTCCCCCTTGTTAGACCGCAGAGGTGTTTTAAATTCTTGAGAAACAGCATCTTTGGAAGGAGGTGCAAAAGGAAACTCGGCGCTGTGGGAGTGGGGCGGGGCCCGCGTTTTCGCTCCCTCCGGAATAAGAACCGGGTAAGGGACAGTCCCTCCTGGGGACCCGTTTCTTTCTCTCCGCACCTCCTAGCCCCTCCAGGTGGGCCTTTAAAAGCAGGACAGTTCCGTGCTACTGCAGAAAGCCCCAGCAGCATCAACAGGAGACTGGTCGAAGTGCGCATAAGGAGTTTTCTTCTGGCCGAGAGGGGGAGCCCCGCCATCCCAGCCCCAGAGACTGGAAGTCCCGACCCAGCCCGGGCCGCCACCAGCGCCAGTTCAGGCTTCAGCAGATTAGGAGAAGGAGGAGGAGGAGGAGGAGGAGGGAGGGGACGGGAGTCCTAGAGTCCCGGGCCCAGCGTAGTGAAGACGTCCACAAAGTTTCCTTGTCCGCCACGGACGCGCAGGAGCGGGCCAGGGTCCCCGGAGATCCCGTGTCTGCCCCAGCCGAGCGGCCGCATCCCTCTGCGGAGCCACGGTAGGAAGCCGACGCGTCCGTCCGGGTCGGGCCAGCTCCGGCCAGGTGGCGTGGGACCGGACCGGGAGCAGACCCCGGGAAGCGGGCGCGGTCAGCCGGGCGGGTGAGGAGGGCGCGGGGCTGCGGCTGCCCGCAGGATACACAGATCGGGACCCCGAAGGCTCGGGGAGTCGGCGGGAGGGGAAGGAGGCTGGGACCTGTTGCCTCTGGCCGGGGCAGTGCGGGAGGGAGGTGGGGGCGCCGAGGGTCCCCCGCGCAGCGCCTTCCCGCCGCAGCCCCCTCTGGCCCGTGGGGGAACTTCGCCTGGGTGCGGCGCGGGCGTTCAGGGGCCGGGAAGCAGCGGTGCGGACGCTGGACCATCCCGCTGCGGGTGCGTTGAGCAGGCACTGCCCAGCAAGCCGAAGCATCGACGGGTCAGCGAGGCGACCCGAGAGTCAACTTCGTTCAGCCTGGTCTCGCTTTTGTTGGGTCGCTGGGAAAATGTGGGCAGGGGGCGGGGAGACAAGGAGCTCGTGACCGGGCCGCTTATACTTTAAAGCTCCATGCGGGCAAGGCCCCCAGTCTGGGGCGGTGTCCACGCGCGTGCCCTTTGCCTGGGCGGGTCAGATCGCGGCTTCTTTGGCCTTAGGTTTGTGGGACTGGGGTGGCCAAGCTTGCTTGCTCCAGTCCACCTCTCGGTGGTGGCCTTGCTCTCGACCTCGCTCAGAAGACAGCCCAGCTGCTTCTCTGTCGTGGGGCTGCTGGGCTGACTTCCCTGTGTGTGGAGGGAACTCTGGGCAGTCTAGTTTTCTTGGAATGTGTTTACAATGTTGAATGAGACTTGAACAGGAAGCTGGACGCTGCAGCTAGAAATAGCGTGCCAAGGTAGAGTGAGGAAGATATAGCTGTGTTGGGGAAACTCCCAAGTGTTGGCTGACAAGGTACCCCCTCCCCCTTTAGTTTTTCTCAACCGAGTTTTTTTTTCCTTTGCAATTAGGCATTAACCTACATTATTTCAATCTGTAAGTTTGACAACATACTATCATTTAGGAAGATGTAATAAATTTATTTTGTGCCTTCTTTTAAAGATGCTGCACCAACATTTAAGAATGAAAACTTTCTTAGGCTATTCGAGTTGTAGCTACCTTATTAATTATAGGTTTGCAGAGGCCAGGATACTGATGGTTTCATGTAGTCCATATGGGTGGGTGATCAGGTCGTAAAAGAGCAGATTGGAAGACAGAGTGAATGATGAGAGGTGGGAAGCCTTGAAAGGAATTGGAACATTTTCAGATTTGCAAATGGCCTGCTTGCTCTGCCAGCCTTTCCCTCGTCCCCCTCATAAACAAATAGCCTTGCTAGAAAACCCACCGACTGGGAGAGTTCAGACGCTGGTGACGGGAAGCTTTTCTGGAAACAACGGTCAGGCTAAGGTACTGCTCCACTGCATAATTAAACGCTCTCCTTGAGCTGTCCAGGACCATTTTCCAAGTTTTTACGACTGACAAGGAAAGAAGAGAGGAATCTGGCCGGCAGCCAAACTAGACTGAGCTCGGTAGCCAGGCCTGAAAGAGACTGGGGAAGTTGCAGAGAATAATTGGAAGGGCTTGGTGGTGGTACTATGGCTTAAACAAGGGGTTTCTTTTGAAATGAAAAATTTAAATGACTAAGAGTCTTCTTGAAATTAAACACAAAAACCAACTAAGCCTAGAATGTAGTTGAGTGTCACAAGGAGAGTGCGAGAAGGCCTGTGGGAGGGCGGTGTGACCATTATCATCCTTTCTCTGGAACAGCAACGGTGCCCTCCACACTGCTGAGGCTTTGCAGGTGCTAGCACTGTTAGCAGGTCCCCTCAAGATGCATGTTCTTAACAACGATTTCAATCCCTTGACCTTGACCTTTCTTCTTTGTTTTCCTGGCAAGTAAGAACTGAAGACCGATTCCGAGCAGATGGTTTTCCACCTAAATTGAATAATTCAATTATGCTCAAATAGCCTGGATTTGGGGTCATGGAATTAGAGTGGAAAGTTCATCTAGTATTTCTTTCTTGCGTTTCAGAAGTGACCCCATAAACAGATCTCCTTCTTTCACCTGAAGAAGTACAAGTAAGGGCGATCTCAGTGTTGCAACCACACACTGCTTCCGGATTGCAGGCTAGCCAGGCACTAGGAGTTTTACCTACTGGTCAGACCGCTCTTCTGTTCCGCCTGCCCCTTATTTTGTTACTCAGTGAGGTGGGTCTACTCTACTGGTCATACTGGTCTTCTGTTCCACCTGCCCCTTATTTTGTTACTCAGTGAGGTGGGTCTACTATTGTGGTCATGGGAGACGAATGACACAAAACAGAAATGTGGTTTGTATTTCTTCTGGAAGTGGGTGTTTGAGGTTGTAAATGTCACTCTTCTATCCGAGATTGACTTTATGAATCACCCTGTGCAGAGTGTCTTTTCTGACTGTGACTTCAGTTTTTCCACTTGCAAAGTAAAGAAACTTTCCTTTACACAAGTCCAAGCTCATTAAAGAGACGAAATGATATTAAGCGCTTTCAGAATTAAAGGTCATGAGCTTTCTCACTCAGTCAACAAGGTTTATGGGAATAAAATTGGGATTGTTTATATTTGTTGTACACACATAATGCATTTGTGCATTTTAAAATTGATTTCTTTTTACATTTTATTCATAGCTGTAGTTTGACCATAAGTTTTTCATTTTTAAAACCTTAAATGTTTTTTGAAATTTCATACTGTAGTTGCTGTATTTACATCGTTTTTACTCCTCCGTCTTCTTTAACATCTCCTGTACCTCTTCCCACATTGCCTCAAATTCATCTCATTAAATTATTATTGTTGCATATGTGCATATATAAATTCACACACACACACACACACACACTCCTCCACACACACAAAAAATGCCTACTGATTCCATTCTGTGTTACTGGTATGTAGATGTGTTTAGGAAGACCCCTTGGCACAGGGTAACCTATCAGAGATCTAGTCCTTCATCTCTCAGCAGCCACTGATTGACCATAGCTCTTCATTTAGGGGTGGAACTTTGTGAAATGTACACGTCCATGTCGGCATGTCAGCTTGTGTTGTCATTGTTAGATCTTGTTAGGTGACTGTGTTGTGAGATTTCATGAGTACAGCTTTTCTGTGCCGTCTAGAGTTCCCTGTCTAGCAGTAGGTGTTCTGGTCCTCTGGTTCTTACAGTCTTTCTGCCATTTTTAACAGTTTTCCCTGAGCCCTAGGTGGATGAGTTATATTGTAGATGTGTCATTTGGGACTGGAGCCCTCGTGTCGTTTATTCTCAGCATTTTGGCCAACTGTGGATCTCTGTAATAATCTGCTGAAAAAAAAAAAAAAAGAGAGCCTTCTTGAATGAGGCATGAGAGCTACACTTATCAGGCTTGCTGGTGTGAGAACTGTATATCAGGAGCCAGGCCTAAGGATATAGACGGTCTCAGGCCCCTTTGTGATCAAATTTTCATCTTTGAAAATGTTGAGTGAGAGTTTGTTATGTTAAAGGCTGGGTTATTTTGTTAAACAGAAAAGAATAACAAGTAAACTTGCTGTTTTTTCAAAACAGGTATGTTTTTTAATCCTAGCTCATGTCTTTCTTTGTGCAATGTTAACAAGGATATTTGCAAAATTGTGTTTGTTCAACTGTTTATTAATCTGCATATTTCTATTTGGCGCTTTTGATGCAGTATTTAACACTGTAGCCCAGAGTGGCTTGTAATTCACTATTAATGTTGTCAAGGCTGGCTTAGACTGGAACTAGAGGCAGTCCACCAGCTCCCTCTGTCTCTTGAGTTTTGGAATTCCAGGTGTGAGCCACCATGCTAGCCCTTCTTTCTTGGAAGCAACATTTGAGACACTAAAATGTATTTGTAATGTTGAAACTAGCTGTTGGTAGCCACAATTTCTGTAAGGGTTCTATGAGAGATTTTGGAGTCACTGATGGATTGACTCATGGAGTATTTGTTAGATGTTGAGTGTGGACATAATTCTGTGCTAAGATTTTAGCACTGAATTCAGCTTTGCTGATTTGTATGTGTTAATTTGTTGTCTGTATGAATATCTATAACTCATGAACTTGTTAGTTGGTGATACATGATACTTGTGAAATACTTAATTTTTAGTTTCATCTGATAGGTAATACATCAACAGTGAAATATACTACCTGTTTTTAGGTTCATTCTACTATGTACTATTCATGAATGCTTAATTTAACTCTTTAAGGTGAATAGGTCAATGTAACAGAGCAAACAGGATAAGAATGGTAAATGATTTAAAGAATAAAACCTCATCTCTTTAAAATGCTTAATAATAGTCTTTATCATTAGATTTCACATTATCATGAATAATGGATGTATCAAAAGCAAGCATATATGGAATAAAGTAGTGTTGATGTAGTAGTCAGAATAACACTGTAGATACTTTTGTTGAACAAGTTAAGTATTTAAGGATATATTATGTCAATTTTGATATAAAATGATTGTCTTAACTTTCAAAATCTTCTTTACCCCCCCCATTATGGAATGAAAAAGATGACTTTTCACTTAGCTGACTAATTTGCTTGTGACTCTAGCTGCAATATTACACTTTATCTCCTAAAAGCTGTAAAAGATAAAAAGTTATTTATTTGAACATAATAATGAATTCAAGACAGTCACAGAAGCCAATTGCATGGCTTCTGTGAGTCCTGGTCTTTAAATATACTAGAGGCTGGTGGATCTAACGGTGTTTGCTTTAATGCTTTTTGCTATCAGGAAGCTTATGTTTGTTCACATGGGAGTCTAAATATATTCAAATTGGAGGAAGAAAAATGGCATAAACTTTGAACATAGAAATTACTCTGCTTCCAAACAGCAGAGATAGGAAATTGAGTCAGACCTTCACTTTTAAAAAGAATAACTGAACATTATTCTTCCTGAGTAAGCCTTGCTGCTTTCAGGCCGTTATTTGATATTTATTATTTGTTTGTGTTTGTTTTATGCTTAGGAAATGTTTTCAGCC